AGACAGGAAAAGCTGATACAGGAACACAATGAATGTCAGGTTAAGGATTTAAATCTTAGTCTGACAGGGTTGGGGAAAAACAATACAATACTTACCAGAGAGTGAGAAGGAGAGGCATGCTGTGAGCATCCAGAGTGGGAAAGCTTACACTACATAATTAGCCTCTTTGTAATTAACAATCTAGAGGGCCTATGGAAATTAAAGCAAGATGGGTAGATTCCGCTGCATGGAACCAGAATGTTAAAGCAGTTAGTTTACCCCAAGTTTGGCTGGACCCTCTGAGAGCTGCCAGTAAGTGGAGCTCATCAACATCTTGGCATTCCCTGTTTCTAATGTTCCTCACTGGCCAAGAGGGACTGTGCTAAAAGTCCTCAGGAGATGGCTGTGCCTTTGGATTTCCTGTGTGACTTCAAGAATAGCACTTTTCAGTTCTGGTACTCTCTGGTATTAGAAACTGAGTTCATTACAGGCATGAGGTCAAGGCTGAGTGGACCTCTAGGCCAATGATCAGCTCAGATTCCATGTTCAGTATTTATAAAGCCCAATGGTGTTAAATTAGTTGGGGAGGAAGAGAGAAGAACGCAACTGCACCTAAATGATGTCTCTGGAAGGCATCTACTATCAGCCTTCTAAAAATACATGACAGTACCACAGACTCTAGCTTTATCATTTAAAAAAAAAAAATGGAGGAGAAAAGAAAGCAGCTTACAGATACATTGCCACCATTGTGTGCCAATTCCAAGACTTCATCTCACATAAAAGAAGGGACGTTGGGAGAAACAATGCATTGTATTCCTTCCGTTTGTCCCTTCATACTACCCGCTGAAATGCCTTCATGGTCATATGCTCAGCTTGCCATGCTAATTGGGGAAAAAAATTAAACAAACCAAAAAATAATAATAATGTTCACTTTTTGTGGTTGTTGTTACTTAGTTTTGTTTTTGAGACAGGGTCTCGTGTATCTCAAGGTGCCCTCAAACTCTCTGTTTCCAAGGTTGACCTTGAATATCTGTTCTTCCTGCCTCCTCTAGAGGGCTGGGATTATAGGTATGTGGCATCACATCTGGTTTCTGCTGTGTTGGGGATCCAACTGAGAGCTTTGTGGATGGTAGGCAAGCACTCCTCCAAATGAGTTACAACTCCGGTCCAACTGTTTTCTTTACAGACAGTCACTTCTGAAAACTGTTTGTACCATGAAAACAAAACATCGCCATTGTGGAGGGGTCAGGGGTGACATCTTCGTCTCTACAAGAAGCAACAGCGCAAATCCTTGGTTCCTGGAGTTTCCCAAAGGTTCTTTTTAGGGAGACTTTTTAAGACAGAAAGAAAGAGACCAATACCAATCTCATTTTAGTAATGATCCATCAGGAAAAACCTTTGCTGGTCACTTAATAGCCACCAAGTCACCTAGAATTAAGGAGAAGCCTCTCCTTCGGGAGTCAGAATCCTTAATCCAAGGGAGACAGTGACTTTAAGGAACTGACATTTATAAGAATCAAGAAAGGAAGGCTTCAGTAAAAATGTGGTAAGCAGGAGCTCTTGGGCCCTTAATATAGTTTATCTTCCACATAAAGGTATCTTGCAAACCTTTACACAAGGCCTTTATGAGGGAATAATTTCTGAGCCTGGGCAGACAATGGTCTTTCAAATCCATTCTCAGTTCAGAAAGCATTTGTAAGGAGGATTTTTTTTTCCCCCCAGGCAAGGCCTGAGAAGTGTGACGCCCTTGGAACTCTCTGTAATTAACAATAAGCCTCTCTCACAAAGGAAAGTGGACCCTCTTACCCAAAAGAGCCCTGGTGTTATTTCTGACCCCACACCCTTCATTTTATGCAGTGTCTTTGTGGGAAAAAAAAAAACAAGGGCAAGAACAACCTAGAGAGAAATTTTCAAATTTTGGATCAGAGCCACCAAATCAATAATGGCGGAACAAAATGAATTATCAGCCTCTACTGCCTCAATCACAGGGAAAGGCAAGGAGTTGGCCAAAAGAGAAACTGTGGTTAATGTTAAGAAACAGAATGAATTGACTTTGAGGTAGGCTTATATCTAATTAAATGAGACGGGGGCTGGGGGGGGGGGGCAAAGGCAAGGTAAACTCATGGAGGGGAGAGAGAGGTTGATAAGGAAGTGATCCAAGCAGGTGAGTCAGCTCAATTTGTACTACTTTTCCCAAGTCCCAAAGGAGAGCAAAGAGCCATAGAGGTGGGAGACTCAATGGGAACACGCAGTGTTCTTAGAGCTGTGTTTCCTCTCATTCTGTGACAACACATATTAGATATAGCAAACTCCCAGCACTAGCAGGTAGATTACTATCAATGGCCAAATATCTCTTGTGAGTCTAAGGGATGAACTCCTTGTAGTGAGCTGCAGAAGTAGGAGAATCATGGGGCACACCCGCTGCTTCTTACTACCGGTAAGCCAACAGTTTTTGAAAAGTTTGCCACATGCTTGAAGACTCTATATCCAGAGTTCTAGATTCTTGGACTGTACCATAAATTGTACACATCCAGTGATACATCGGTCATGAGGTGGTATGAGAAAGATCTCTCTAAAGGCAGAAGGCATTCCTTGTGGCTTCTTCATGAATCCCATTGGGGACATGGCATTGAGGTAATCATGTGATGGAACCCTAGATGAAGTCAACTCCATAAGCAACAGCTCCTCTTCTTATTTTATAAAGAATGTGGTACCTCAAGTTATACATGGAAATGTTGTGGGGGGGGGGGGTCAATGGCAAATCTGCTCTATTCTGAGAGGCCTCTGCATGGGCTAAGATCCCATGAAGAAAAATGAGACCCCCATCTCTTCAATCTCCACTTCATTGGCCCTGGGAACATTGACCACTATTGACACCTGTGCCTTGTCCTGCCAAAGAGACTCTACAGTCTAAAGCGGACACTCAGGTCCAAGTGGCAGCTTTGTTTGCCCTTGGGTGTAGCCCTTATACATATGCACTCACCTTTCCTGCTCCATTTGCAAACACAGTGTTCTTTAAATGTGTGCAAGTGACAACCAGTGCCTAAGAGACACTTCAATAGGCCCAAGATGACTCACCATTTTCAGGGCCTGTTCAGCTAATTGTATGTTCAAGTCCCTTTAAAAGTCACAAAAATCGGTCCCCCTGCTCTCAGTGCTTTTAAATGGCAAAAGGGTTTGACACGACAGAGTGGGCCTGTTAGAAATTTCGATGCCAGTGAAAAACTGCCACAAGCACTAGAAATAGGCTTTGGCCCCTCGGTGGAGCTGAATTCAAGAGGCATGCACATGCTAATCAGGAAATCAGAGATCTTGCTGGTGACCTGGGTGGCAGATGCCAAAAACATTTCAATGTACCCCATTTCCAATTCATGAAGTCTATCTTGTCTTTGTATTGTATTTTATTAGATTTATGCATTTAGCTGGGAACCTATTATTCTACTAAAATACAAAATATAATTATTGTTTTCTTGCATTGAGACCCTGAGAATTATTTTATTGTTTCCCCATCAAAAGTGATCCCAGCTTTGTATTTTTTTTTCAAGATTGTTAAAGAAATGTCACTTCCTCTATCTGCTTTTCATAATAATTGTGCTGCTTAATGGGGAAAGGGAGTAAAATGAATTGAGACGGAGGTTGTAACTCAGGTCCTTTAGTTACCAAGGTCTACTTCATTTCTTATATTTTTCTATGGTCCTTTCTGCCCAGCCAAGTTTCTGATCCTCATTCAAGGTCCACTCATTGAGATGGCATTTGGGGAAAACTGATCTACAGATATGAGTTGCTTGTAGCTGAGTGCTCACCTAAAATTGCAGTTAAGTGGAGCTCAATACCCATCATGGACAACTGAGCTGTCCGTCACAAGACAGCCACTCCTACATCCCACCCATCCCTCAAAGATGCTCTTAGAATCCTTCCTATCGCCCTTCTTTCCACTTCACACTATTTGCCTTCATCAACAGAGATGGAAATACTTTTAAAAAATACTAGGGGGAGTTATATTAGGTACAAGACACTGCAAAAGATGCCAGTCCACTTTAAGAAACTATTGTCATGTCGTGAGGATGTGTCCAGGCCTCAATCAATGGCAGCATCTCCCATAATCCTTAGGACAACATGATAAGGTAAGTGCTAGTGTTGCTTCCGCTTAACAGGTGAGGAAACGGACACACAGGTTAGATTGTGAAAGAAATGTCACAGTCCTTAGTAATAGTAAGTGGAAGAGTCAAGGTTAGAGTCCCACGTCAGACAAATAACAGAGCCTCATCTCCTTCCTCTGAATAGACTGCCAGCCTCTCCATACAACTGAGAGCTACTCTATGCTCAGCTATTTCCTAACTACATACATATAGACATCTCTAGGAACTCCACTGCCTGTTTTCACAATGAATCAAGTATAGATTTTGGAGATTTTTGATGCTGGCTCTGTCATTGATCAGCTCAGAACCTTTCATCAGGGGCATTAACTTCTCTTACAGCCCCTCACTTGCCAAATAGAGATAACAACAGCACCCCCTCATGCAGGTTATCATAAGGGCCAAATGAAATCACATAGCTTTGCATCCAGCATACACTGGAGGCCAATTCTGTCAGGCACTCACATGGGCTGTAAATGTCTTGGGTGCATATCAACAAGTAGAGAGATGACCCGATCACAGCCATGCTTTGGTGCTTATATGTGTGAAATGTAGAAGAGGTATAGCCATTTTTGGGTCACTGGAGTGCCCATTGTACAAGTAGGTGCCCACTTATTGGGAAGCTTCTACCTAACTCCCAACTGGACATTTTGTCTCTGTGTAATCACATCAAGGTAACACTATCTGAGTGTGTGTATGTACACATGGACATGAATTCCTATGTGGGTGTATGTGATTTGATTCACTGCATTTGTACGTCTGTGGTGTGTGTGTGTGTGTGTGTGTGTGTGTGTGTGTGTGTGTGTGTGTGTGTGTGTAAAGAGCTGCCTGTGCATATGTGTGTGAGAGTACCTGAATATGTGTGTGAAGACCAAAGACTAACCATCGAGTGTCTTCTCTCCTTCATTTTTTGAGGAAAGGTCTCTCACTGAACCTGGAACTCATGGATCCACCTTGGCTGGCAGTCATCAGGTCCCAGCCATCCTCTTGTCTACATGCCCCCAACTCTAGGATTACAGGTGAGTGCTGAGGTATTTGGGTGCTGGTGATCCAAATTTAAATCCTCATTTATATGGCAAACACTTTACTGACTGAGCCACATCCTCTTCTATTGTATTGTTTTTATATTGGTGAAATTATTAAGGCCACTCCACGTAGTTAAAAAGGAGGTTTATTTTGTGGGGTAACTTACAAGTGAAGGGATAGTTTACAGGGTCTGGGAAAGGTGTGGCGCAGTCCTGCGGTGTTCTCTGGAGAACTCTGCTCGGTCTACCTCCAGCATCCAGGCTCCAGGATCCAAGAGAGCCGGCACATCTGGATCTGGGGTCTTCAGGGTCCTCCCTTGGCCCTGCCTTATAGGTGTGACAGTTACCAAAGCCTCAATGGGGGTTGGAACTTCCAGATCAAAGCTGGAATGGCTACCCACTACATTTTTAAGTTGAAGTACTCTGTGGGAAATGTTATGCAGTATTTTCTATAGATATGTTATTAAAGTTGGAGGGATAATGTTAACATCTGAGCCATTTTCTGTGTTTTAGGCACTATATAACACCACAGCATGTGCAGTATTTTTGCCATAACCATTAATCTGATAAGTTGAATACCAACCTATTAATCAGGAATTTTACATGCCTTGCTATAAAAAAATAAACTGTTTGCATTGGAAACTCAGGTTCAGTTTACTATGATTTTTTTTATGCACTCAATAATTCCAAATTGAGCATCTGAGACCAAGCTGTCCCCAGTTGGAGGGCTGAGGATACATGCAAATGATTTACCAAAAGAAAACTGAGACCATGCAACATGCAGACTGAAGCAATGTGAGTATACAGTGGGGAAAAAAAAAGATCCGGTCTCTCCTGGAAAATAACGAGAAGCTCCACGAACATGTGCTAAGAAAAGAAGCTGCAGACGTCTATGGGTGGGGTGCAGCTCCAGTCACCTCCTCACCACTGACTTTAGTGTGCTATTATGCAGCCACTTAGCATGTCTAGCCCTTATCTCATTTTATCGATAAAATAAGGTTAAGGTCAGCAGACACAACCAAGGCTGTATACCCTCCCTAATTATTGAGAGTTGGTAGACTTCTTCAGGAATTAGAATCTAAACCTACACATGTTAGGAGAGAATCCTGTGTGGGCAGAATTCACACTGAGCTCCACAGCAGATAGCTGACTTGCCTTCAAAAAGCATGGGGGTGAAGAGGGGCACCTTTTCCACATTCTCACTGGAAGAAGCCCTGGGAAACCTTCTCTCTTGAACTCCAAAGTGGCAAAATGTAAGTGTGTGATCAAGAGAGAATGTGCACAATTGGAAGAGAGCAAGCTGCCGGGGTCCGTAAGCAGCAGAGTGAGTTCTCTGTGCGTCTCCCCCTATTCTGTGTGCCTTGCTCCCCGCTTCCTTCCTCCTCTTATTTTCTGTGTGTCTTATTTCTATTCCTCTGTTCACCCCCATCTCTTCCCCACACGTACCTGAGCTATCTCCCAGTTATAATCAAGCATGTTAAATGAACGTAAGGCAAACCCCGACACACACACACACACACACACACACACACACACACACACACACACACACTACATGTTAACGTGCTTTGCATAAGCGCAAAGTGTAGAATAAATATTGGCGACTCTTATTAGTCCAAGTTAGTGCCTTTAAAAGACTCCTTATAGTTTTCCGGAAAGGTGTATCTTATAGAGAGTCCCAGAAGGAATACATAACAGACTTGGAAGAAGAAGAAAGAAGACGGACTCCTAAATCAGAAGCCTGGAGACACAGGGTCCTTCGGAAGCTGTGTGTCAGGTGGGAGGAAAACTAGAATGCTTACTTCTCTTTTAATTATCTGATGCGCACACTACCCTCCTCTGTTGCCTTCAGCCAGGCCTGATAAGAAAAGGCACCAATAAATATCGTGGCGGTCTGAAGGGAGAAGCTATGTTTCATGGGACTCCCTGCTTCTACAGCTGTTGTTAAAATATTACTGCTAATTAGCTGGCTAGTTATATATAAACCCTTACAAGGAGTATTTTTACACAATCATAAAATAAATTAAACTACCAAAAATTCACGCTGTTAATTAAAATAACCCCTGTAGGAGGGGGGAAATCGCTACAAGGCTGAGGTAAACAGGAGGCAATTTCACAAGCACAAACTGATTAATTTTATTTCCCATTACATGTATTTGCTAATATCATCAGAATTAGGAAATAAAGCAATTTTGCCTTGACAGTAGTTCAAAGGGAGGCGGTGCCGGCAGAGGGATGCAGCTATGAGATGCATGCTCAGCCTTGGGGCAGCTCTGCTGGGTATGGAAGGAGTGAAGGGCTTTTTGGCGAACCTCAGTCCCCAGGAAGGACACAAAGAAGGGAGCACAAGGGACTTCACCATCCACGTGAGCAGCCTTGTAGAACCTTGGGGTGGGCTTATGGCATTTAAGAGTCCCATCCTTCTCACATCCAAACATGAAGACATCTGAGAAAATCAGGGGAACCCCTGCTGAGGGACGACAAGGGGTACAGACACAGAACTTCCATTTGAGGAATGTCCAGGGCAGTGTCCATCAGTTGAACATGGACAAAGGATCCTTTATTTATTTTCCTTCTGCCCTGGAGTTTGTAACATGGATGGACTTTCCTGTAATCTGTGTAAAATCCCTGTGTTTAAATGGTTGCCCAAGCCCCTTGTGGACCATTCTTTCACAAAATATCACAATGAACACATCAAAAAGCCTAAAATATATTTTCTGTATAACAACCACAAGATGCTGTCTAGGGCAAAAAGACAGACTCAAGCAACAAGATCTCTGGCTCTTTTTTGTCTGTCAGCCTAGAGAAACAATCAACTGCAATGCAGCTGGAACCCCCTCCACAGGCGTAACTACTCTACCCACCTCACCACAGCCAGTCCGATTCAAATATTCATCTAGAAAAAAACAGTCCTTGGAAGCTCAAATCAACTATTTTACAATCCTTTTTGGTGAGTCAGAAAATTTCTCAATTATCTTGAACCCACAATTTATGAAGTTATTTTATCATACCGTGTGTGGGGGGTATGTGTGTGTGTGTGTGTGTGTGTGTGTGTGTGTGTGTGTGTGTGTAGCTTCTACTTCCTTAAGCCCCTTTAACGCATCTGAGACCCAGGCCCTGTTAAACATCCAGTTTTATTAGGTAGCTATTCTCAAAGATTCCTGAGTTTTGCCAATCAGACACCAAACATCTAGAAAAAGAACTTCAGTCCCAAATCCAGATGTCATGTCTGTGTAACTGCAAATATTGAGATGTTTGAGGGAAGGACAAAACAGGATCATGTAGTTAATATCCCGCTTCTAACAGAGAAAATAAACAGGTGCATATACTATTCTAAAGATCAGATGAAAAATAAGGAAAATCCTCTGTTGTCTGTGTTAAGTGTTACAACTTTGCAACATTTTCTATCCTTGTACAGTTTGTTTCCAAATTGCATTTTGTACAACATAACAACTTAGCATAACCCAGCATGTGCCAAGCTGTAGAGAAGCAACTGTCTATGTGTCTGCAGCGAGTAAGACCCCCAACTCTAACTCCTGTTGGCTCCCTTCTCCTTGGCACTGGATGTCCTGATAGATCCACACAGTAGCCTAGTGGCAGTTCTAAGTCATCAGCCGAGGACCTTGTTCTCTTGCAGAGGACCTCTACAAAGCCTCATCTCTGGACATCTGCCCACCAAGCCTCATGATGCCCAACCTGCAGCCATGTGTGCTGATGCTCAATTCTGCCCTTGGTCCTGAGGTCCAGCCTAGGAAAAATAACTAGGTGTGTTCTAGAAGATTCTGCAGCCTCTATGCCTGCCTGCTACTGTAGCTGCTGTTGCCCTCTCAGAACTGTCCCTCACAGCTAGCTTGGAGGACACTGCTCATTCTTCTCTTTCTCTTCTTCAAGGATTCCCATGGCATCATCTCCAGAAAGCCTGCTATGACGTCATTAGCAGAGTCTGCTCTGTCAGCCTTGGCACTCTTGGGTGTTTATCTCAGTGCCCTCTCCATCCACATAGCCATGACTAATTCAGAGATTCTCACACCCTTCACAGTTCTTCCATCCCTTCACAGACTTTATGTTCATGGAAAACAAAAACATGAAACAAAACAAAAATAACCTATAGCTCCCTGAAGTGCTCCGGTGCTCAGCTGGCTTTCTCACAGGGGACACTCCATGTCCTCATGCTTGCTCCTGTTACCATACTAACCCTCCAGCTAGGATCGTGACCTCTCTCCAATCTCTTTAATGCCCACACATCCTGCACATCCTTTCCCTGTCTCCACTTTCCTTTGCCCAAAGTCAGAATCCACGGTTATCTGCTCTCAGAACAACCCCCTTTCTCTCACTTATCACAGACAGCTTCTGACAGTCTTTCTCTTCCACTAGACTGTGACCTGCACAGAAGCAAGATACCTTTCTTGTGCCACTGGATGCCCAGGACCTAGCAAGGCCCCTGGTTCCTCAGAGTATCTCATGAATGTGTGTGGAATGAATAACTGAATGATTTCGCAGACCTTTACCACATCAACCATGACTACACCATACTCTGTCAAGGCAGACACTGTGTATTATTCATATTGGATCCCAACACAGAGTGGGTTGCTAGTACATGCTTCTTAAAGTACAATTGGGCCAGACACAGACACCATGACAATTTCTGTGTGTCTTACAACTAGACTGGTGGCTAAGGTATAAACAGTGAGTTCTCCATCTCCAGAATCATGCAAGGAGAGAGCAGATGCAGCAAAAACATTCAGAAAGAGTTCAACCAATGAACAGGGTCTCTCTTCTCCCTTCCCAACCTCATGTTCCATGGTGCAACCACAAGAAAGCAGGGCGGAGGACAGAGATGGCTGCAGAAATGACTTAGATTTCAATACCCTTAGTTAGAAGAGAAAATGTTGGGATAAGTAGGAAGAATGGGACTTTTGCCACCGTTATCTTAATTGTTGGCAGGTAGCAATCCTGAGAGGCTCTGTGAACACAGGAGCCATGACTGGAGGCGATGTCAGAGACTTCGGTCATAACCAGCCATCTGAGACTGGCTCCTGCCTCCTTAGTCTGGCTCTTATTTTTAGATTTAGATACAGTTCAAAAGGGACTCTGACTTTGAAGAGCCGCGCAGAGAATCGCTTGAGTCACAGGGAATCATTTCTTACTATTTCCTCAGCTCTTTCCTGAGAAAACAGATTGAATATTTGTCATTCCTCACCCCCCAAAGAAGGAAAGTGACTTCTCCTTCTCTAAAGCAAAAGAAAAAGATGGACCTGGTGTCTGGTGAGTGAAGTCTGTGCTCAGAGTGGTTGCACATTAAGTGGTTACACTGTCTTTTCAATCTTTCTATATGTTTACATCCAAGAAACTAAATACACTTGCCAAGACTCTTTGTGGGACTTCTGAGTAGAATGGTCCTGCTAGGAAACAACCTTGTTCCTCGCCATCTCTCTTTCCATTCTGTGAGTCTCATAACTTTGGCAAAAATGATTTTGTTTCTGGAACATGAGGATGGATGTGGATGGAAGTAGAAGGACGAAGGGAGAAACCCAGCACTAAGCCATGCTGTCGGAAGGCCCATGGTGCTGCCCGTCATCCTCCATGTGGCTAATATTTCATACAATGGGTCTTATAACCAGATCATCAATTTTCTAGGTGTGTTTCATGTGCTATTTTCATTACATTTATTTGTCACTGGGTTTCAATGACCTTAGCAATTATGTGTCATTATGCCTATATGGTAAGTGGAGAATTAAAGGCTTAGATAAGATGTATTTCTCACAGTTGCATAGCCACAAAGCACTAGAGCCAGGATTCAAACCCAGTTTTCCTGTCATACCCAAACCAGAAAAACACAACTGCACAATCTCTGTGTCAGTGAGACTTCTCACTTAGCAAATCCCAGTAAATGGTCAAACTAAATCAACAAGAGACAACCTTGCTCCCTAGAGGCACTGAGGGATGTCTGGAGGCATTTTTAGTTCTCACAAATGAGTAGAGACTAGTAGATGGAGGTCAGGGGTGCCTCATCCCTCCCCAAAATCCTTCAATCTACAAAAAAGCCCATACTGCTGTAGGATGTCATTCTGTATGCTGTGAATATGTGTTGCTCTGATTGGCTGATAAATAAAACACTGATTGGCCAGTAGCCAAGCAGGAAGTATAGGCAGGGCAAGCAGATGAAGAGAATTCTGGGAAGAAAAAGGCTGAGTCAGGAGTTGCCAGCCAGACCCAGAGGAAGCAAGATGATAAGGCAGAACTGAGAAAAGGTACCATGCCACATGGCTAAACATAGATAAGAATCATGGGTTAATTTAAGTGCAAGAGCTGCTCAGTAATAAGCCTGAGCTAATGACCAAGCAGTTATAATATATAATATAAGCCTCTGAGTGATTATTTTATAAGCGTTTCATGGGACTGTGTGTGGGGGGGAGACTGGAGAAACCTTTTGACTACACCATACAATGAAAAACTGTCAGGTAACTCAACACACTCTGCATGAGACATTTTCATCATTATCAGTTTCCTGTAACCCACTACGACCTTCTGTGTTGAAAACAAAAGCAGTAGAGGCTGGGGTGATCACTAAATTAATGAAGAACTTGTCTTCAAAACCCCACACAAGTAAAAGCCAGGTGCCCTGAGCTTGTTATCCCAGCACTGTGGAGATAGAGACAGTAGATTCCTGGACCTTACTGGCCGGCCAATTTTGCCTACTTTAATGACTTCTAGGCCAATGAGACATGGTCTCAAACATCAAGGGGTACTGCAACTCAAGAATGACAACTGAGATTGTCCCGTGGTCTCTACATAACTCTCTCTCTCTCTCTCTCTCTCTCTCTCATACACACACACACACACACACACACACACACACACACACACAATCACACACACAAATGGACAAAAGAAAGAGAAGTCTATAACTTCTTTCTTTCAACCAAGCTTCCTCACAACAAGTTATGAATTCCTCTATTTTAAATTTTCTCTATTTTAATACCTTCTTAATATACAGTTGCATGCTCATCAATGTCTAAAACTGGAAAAGGTCCTTTTTTAAGAATGGAAATGGAAAAGAAAGGGGAGGGACAGAGATGGGAAGAGAGAGAAGGGAGAAGAAAACAAAGTGAGAATAAAAAGGAACGAAGAGGAGGAGAAAACTAAGATTAGAAACTGGCAATCCACAGCCTTCAACAGCGGAGTCACATTACATGGAAATCAGCGCAGTGACAGCACAAGGAGCCGCTTTGTGTCTTCATGAATAACACTATGTGCTGGGTAAATGCCTTTCCCCATTTAGAAACAGGTAGTTAATGGGAACTGAAGTGATCAAATGCTGTGTACCCCAAGGTTACTTACATCATGGGCCTGAGTGGCCCAGAGCTCATAAATAAAGCATCAGAGTGTCTTATTTTAGACCTGGTCAGATAAGCAAGGACTTGCATCATGTGAACGGAGCCCACTGTGATATGACACTGAGCCTGGTAATTCCAGGAGCCCTTGGAATGTGACATTTCAAGCGCGGTACACTGAGTTCATGCCCCATGGAAGCTCTAAGACCCACCAGGCCTAAATATCCCATCATCCCTTTGATTCAGTGGCTGAGAGAGAAGATTGTCACTGAGCTGGACTTTAAATGTATGCCAAGCACACTCCCTGCTATGCAGAAGTTAATTTGAGACACATTTGCAACTTATAACTCTGATTTACTCATTTGCTAGTACGAGGACCACACACAGTTTGACAGCCTGCCAGCTTGCGTAGACCATTCCCTCTGAAGAGATTTGGCCCAAGTCACGACCCAGCTTGGCAGCTCAAAAAAACAGCTGCCGGACACTGGAGGAATGTGGAATTGAACATGGAGAATGAAAAAGCTTTCCTCTTTTCCTCAAAGTTTTACATATAATTATGTAATCATATTCCTTTTTGGATACTTTGACATCAATTGTGCTTAATTAAATTGTTGCTTATTTGTTGTTTTATTATAAGTTCATGGCTTGTTTGTGGCTATGCATCCACAAGCTTTGTGCACAGACAAATGCTCGCATGGGCACATGCTCAGTAGCAATGACATTGTTATGAAGGTAAAGAAAATGGGCTCAGTGAATAATTACTCCAATTGACAGGACAACTAAAGATTTCAAAGGGTGCTTGTTTGCATGGCATACAAATTACTGGATGAATAACTTAAATGTGATCATTTTCTGCTGTTACTGGGTTTTTTCCTCACAGATTTCCTATAATTTGATACCAATCAAATATGTATGCTCTGCATGAAGTACATTATCCCCATGATAAAAACAGACCTGCTTACATGGTAGACATAATTCCCTATGTATAGTCTGCTTTTATTACACTGTTTCTCCTGCAGACCTTAGGCTCAAAGGAGAATATTATCAATGAATATTTGTGAACTTCAGTTTAGGATAAGACAGCCTACATTTGAGAGTGTGGAAGTAGCTGGTTAATGCCTAAAGGCCACCACCATCAAGTGACACATGGAGCCATGTTCCAAAGTATGGAAACACATACTTCTCTCCTCTTCCACTGGAACCTGCTTGGGACAATTCTGCCTCAGACACTGATTCTCAATGTGTTAGCCCACAGAATGTGTATCTGTTAGAAATAAATATCCTAGCTATAATAGCCAAGAAACGGGAATAGCCCAGATGTCCACCAACAGATGAAGGAATAAAGAAATGTGGTGCGCACTCTCAATGGGGTTTTTTCTACCATAAACAAGAACAAAACCATGATATTTGCAGGGGGGAATGGATACATTATGTTAAGCAAAACAAGCCAGACTCAGGGAGAGAAACATTGAATTTTTCTCTCATATGCAAAATCTGCATTTAAATTTATGTGTATGTGTATGTAGGACATGAAAATAGAAAGGAAATTATAAGAGAATAGAAAAGGCTCCTAAGGGGAGCAGTAAATAATATTTAGTAAATACTCAGGACACGAAAGCAGGAGGGTTATCTGGGAGGATCAAAGGAACCTACAAAATGGTCACAGGCTGACAGAAGGAGGCAGTAGGGAGGTAAAATGATTAAGACCACAGTAACCTGGTGTGTGTGTGGTTGACGCCCATTACTTTATATGCTAACTTTACAAGTTAGTTTTCAAAAGAAAGAAGGACCCTGCCATGTTTGTTAAGGTGAGGTTACAAAAGTGCAAGATGCTTAACGAAGACTTCTAGCTGCTATTCCAACATAGTCAGGCCAGGATCGCTAGGGAAATGTACTTGGAACCATATTTCAGGTAAAATTGGCTTGCTGATGATTCTGGTTTGTTTCAGGGTTTTGGTGGTGGTGGTGGTGGTAGTGGCAATTTTTTTTTTGCTTTTATTTTTGTTTTTGTTTTGTTTTCCTGTGAATGTGATCACAACCAGGGCCTCACACATTCTAAGCCAGCATATTACCAATGCACTATGTCCCCAACCCTATCTGAGTCTTGGAGAATATGGATTTGGGAGGTTTTACTTCCTTTTCTGTTGCTACAACTGAATATCACAGACTTGATAACTTATTAAAGAATCATTCTTTCTTACAGTTCTGGAAGGTGGGAAGTCCATGGCTGAGGAACTGAGTCTTGTGAAAGCCTTCTTGCTGGTGGGGACTTTTTGATGAGTTCCAGGTTGATGCAAGACTCGGTGGTAGGAGAGCAAGCATGTTGGAAGGAGTTGCTTTTATTAACAAAGCTATTGCTTTGATAACCTATTAATTCACAAATTGATTAATTTATTCATGGAGGCAGAGTCCTTGTGACCCATCTTCCAAAGGTCTCACTTCTCCAATGCCATTAGCCATTGGGGGTCAGGGTCCCAGCACATGAAGCCTGTGAAGACATATTTAGATCTTGGCAGAAAGTCTTCCTTCCCCAATATGAAGGTTATAGTGAGAATAAGAACATGCTTATGAGCCCACTGCATGTGAAAAACAAACAAAAAGTCCTAATGTAACAGTTTTCTATTCTAGAAGACACCTACTTGGCTAATGCTCTTGGTCACCTCAACTCACCAAAAATATAATAAAATAAAATACTTGCTCAGAATGATAACCCAGCAGGCCTTATAAGAACAACACTTGATTTACATCATTAGATCATGTATGTTAGGACAGAAAATCAGAAATATGAGTGTGAAAATACAATAGAAAGAAATTTTCAAGCGGACATTTTTTTGAGTTTGCACTAGATAGTATGGTAAAATTCTACTAGTTTTCCAAGTATTCTATTTTATGAAATGCTTCACTGTATTTCAGCAGATAATTACCCCTTTCATTTTCTATTCCAGCTTACCACTATGATGGCAGTAAAGTCAGTTTAATTTAAAAGTCTTGAAAATGCTAACAAGCCACACAAGTAACATAACTTACATCAAAGAGATCGGCTATCTACTTGGAATCATGCCTGGACTAAGGGCACAGACCACCAGCCCATGATAGTGTTGTGGACCTTATTTCAGGTAGTTAACAGGTTGAGTTGAGTAAGTGAATACAGTACGGTGCCTTAGCAGGTACAATCGCTCACTGTGGTTGTGTTGGTAGCTGTGGTCCTGTGAATGGAGTTGTAGGGGCTGATCACCTTCTATCATTTTCTACTGGGAGGAATCTAGAGGGAAAAGATTGACATTCAATATTTGCAACAATTAAAACGTAAGTTCTTTAGGGAGAAGTTCACCTAACTCCCCCATTCTGCCCAACATCTATCTGGGTGAGCACAGAGCCATCCCCTACAGAAGATGCCTGGGGTAGGGTAAGAACCATCCCTGGAGGCAGGCATCCAACAGAGACAAAGAAAATCCTCAACCTTGCTCTGTGGAAGCATTCTCTACCCAAACTCAAGGACACCCTCTAATTCTCACAAAACCCATGGATCTCCTCCCCAAAAGGCTCAGAGAGAAAGATGTCCACCTCACCACACCTGGGGAGAAAAGATTGTGCCTAAGCCTTTGACAACTTTTTTCTCTCTGTGATCACAGAGGAAGAAAATTTCATGCCCTTGCACAAGAACCATGGTGTCTCTGTCTTGAACCCAGCTGTATTCAAGATTTACTGTGTGGCCCTGGGCAGCTCATCGGACCTCACTGGGTCTTAATTTCTTCATCTGGAAAATGAAGATGCTATGTACATCGTGGGCACAGCATCTCAAGGTTAATGCAGCGGGCTGATATTGAAATGCAACTGAATGGGAGAATATCTAATTCTGGGAAGGAAGTGAGGCACAGCAACCCACACTTCTGGGTGCAGATAGCATGTGCAAGATCATAGCACTGAGCCCTGGGGTCAGTCACGCTCATGAGGAGCGCAATAAGCTGTTCACAATGCACCACCTGGAGTCTTTTATTGTTATTGCCAAGTGGAGTTGATAAAAACAAACAAAGCGAAAGGTCGAAGCCCTAATTTATCAAAAGTTATTGATACAGATTGCATATCGACAAGCAAAGGGCTGCTTTTAGATTCCCATCAATAAATCCATTTCATAATACAGTCCAATCCCAACACTTTGCCCCCAGATCCATCCATCTAGATATTAGAAATCCATCCTGCTTTGCCTGCAGTCTGTCAAATGTCACCACAGAGTGCAGAAGCCACCCTGCCAAGTCTATATCCTGAACTAAATCCCAATGGAAACTTCCAGATATAAATAACTACTATGAGCACTACTATGAACATACAGGGGAGAAAAACAGCTCTCAAGTCTCACTGTTACTTTCTTTTTACCTTTTTACCTGTGACAAGCAAAAAGAAAAAAAAAATCATGCCGTTACTGTTCAAAAATAACCTAAAACCAAGTTTAATCAATTCCATTTTCTAGTTACGGGACACTGTTTTAATCTGTGGAGCAGCATTTGGGGCATGGGCAGAGGTTCTTTGGTGACATTTTCACAGGCAGTCCCCGAAGCTTTGGTGCCTCGGATGACACTGGGAAGTGGCATCTGATGACACTCCATGTCTTATGCCATGAGGACAGAAAGGAATGTTCTACCTAATTGTGGGCAGATGACAGAGATGCTGGGGAGTCAGTTCTAAGGGACCCCCAGTTTAGGAGGGGGAAAACCTTACTCCCCAGGTGTTCCTAAAACACGGAAAGTGGTGAAAAAAAATCAGAAAATGGAGCCTGAGCATGGAGCTATCCTTAAGCAAATTGTACAGAGCCAAGAGTATACAACCCAAGATAAATCTTATCACCTCCCTGAGCCTGAGTTTCCACATCCTCAGCAAGGGAAGATGTCTTATACCATAGTAGACACTCAATAAATATCTGCTCAAACATAATTTAAACTGAGAAATACTGGATAATTGATATCCCCCATTGTCCAAAGGGCAATAGTCCACCATGGATGTATATCCATTACCTACCAGAACACACGATGGTGGAACAGACGAGGAAAAGATGAGGACTCTTTTCCTCAACCTTAGACAGAAGACATGAACAAAAATGGAGAGGCCTAGGTTGTGCGTGTGTGTGTGTGTGTGTGTGTGTGTGTGTGTGTGTGTGTGTGTGTGTTACATCACAGGGACACAGCACTGTAGAACTAGTGTCTAAAGTAGGGCACCCCCATTCCGGTTGGAGGGCTGCAGAATTGCCCCCCACTCCTTGCCCTGACTGGGGATTGGCTCCATGATGCTTGCTTGCAAGGTTTGAGCTCATTTGCTCTGGGAACAAAAGCCCACTTTAATATTAGCCTCAGTCGGGCTGTTAAAAACAGAAAAGCTGCTGCAAATACAACAGCCTAAGCAAAGATTGCTTTAAGATTATCCAGGCTTTGGGGTCTTCTGACCACATCTGAAGGAGAGACTCAGGGTAGACATGGGTGCCTTCCTGGAAAGCTTGGAAGTAAATTAAAATGCTACGGGGGTTGGGGGGGGGGGGGGCGGCGGGAGGCGGGCGGAGAGGGGGTGTTAGACATTTTTCCAATTAAAAAGATGGAGAATTAGTTAAAATAAGAAGGAA